GATAAACAGATGAGACTCTTTTAAGATCAACCTAGAGAGCCTGAGAGAGAAAGAGAGAAGGAAACTGATTTGCTATTTTTCAAAACCTGCTTCTTATCATAGACAGAAAGCATTGTGTTATTTGTAAGTAGAAAACCGAGAACTTCAGCTATGTGATTTCATAATTCTACATATACTTTCATTTATTTACGTCATCTTATTTCTCAATCCTACAGTCTTCGGATATATATAGTAGGCCTTTAGCTGAAAATATGCCATTTTAAAATACAGTTGCCTGGTTTGGTATAACATAATAATAATGGACATTTTAGAAACTATGACTTCCTTTTTAGTGGTTTTAGATACATAATTGAGATCTGTAGTCGCTCTTTTAGATTATCTTTCCATCCACATGACTGGGAGAAACCTCACCCTGACGGAATCCACCAATTGGGCAAAATCCCATTTTGCTGCCATTAAATGCCATGTTGTATATCTACCCATATTGAGAATTCAACTTTGCCTGAAACAGTTGTTTCATACCTCCTCCTTAAAGCTTCAACAGCTTTTTCTGTGTGTGTTTTAGCAGAAAGCCTTGCTTTAGAGAGCTTCTTATTACATAGAAATATCTTTGCAGTTTTTTCACAAAACTCGTATCTTTGCACTACAAATTTACTCGGCTTTATGTCTTTTTCTCCTCTTCTCTTTTTCTGTAACAGCAGAAAACATACTTCAGCTTCTGTTTTAGGCTCCTTTTACTGTCTTGATCTGAATTACAACTCTTCCTGCCTTCTCAGGTATCTTGCATTCCTTGTTTGCTGGCTCTCTGCTAGCTCATTAATTCCCATAGCCTTTTAAACATGTTCAAGTCTATACCAGTCAAAAGAAAAAAACTAATCTCTCCAGTTTAATCTTTCTGTCTGCTTTCCTCTGCTTTGTGTATCCTTTCTTAAGTAATTGCCTCTGTACATACTGCCTGTCTTTCCTCATCCTAACTCATTCCATAATCTTAAATTGGCCACCTCCTTCCTACCCTTTCACTGAGACTCATCTTCCAGTGGTGTTATGTCTTTAAACATAGTTGCCATTCTTCAGTCATCATCTCTCAGTGTGTTGCAGCATTTGTTTGAGGATTTCTTTTAGACACACCCTCTTCCCTTGACTTTCATAGCATCACACACGCTAGCTGCATTCTTCCTTTCTGGTGGTTCTTTCTCACTTGGTTTATACCACTGTCTGCTTCAGTGGATTCCCTTGCTAATCCAGCTTTATCCCTAGAGATTCTCTCACATTCTAGATATGTTAGATGTTTTTTCAGTTCCTAAAAGGTATTCTGCTTTCTTTTAACCTTCAAGATGTCATGCATACCGGTTCTTCACTCTAGAAAGTTCTCCCTGCCCAATTTATAGCCCAGGTTATCCTTAGCTTGTCTAAGTTGTGTCAGTTTATGTCCTTTCCTTTTGAAGTCCTTTAGTGACTCTCTAAATTAGATTTCCTTATTGTGTGCTCCTGCAGCACCCTTCCTTTTAGTATCATAAAAATGCATTAAGTTTTATGTTTAGATGCTCCTCTTTTCTATAAGTGGTAGACCCTGTTTTGTTTAGTTCACCATTATATGTCCACAGGTGAAAGAATAAAAATCATACATTACCAAAAAAATTACACATTTTCTTTAATGATTTTTGCTTATTTATATTCAGAAAACATGATTGGTTCATTAGGAACTTTTTTTTTTTTTTTTAACATTTTTAAGCCAATGAATTTTCTAGTTCAAATGTTCCTACAGGATACCTCACTTAAAAGAATATTTTGCACAATAACAAAATCGCTCTTTGATGTTTCTCTCCGTGAGTGTTGTAGGGCATTGTAAGGCAGGGACTTTTCCTCTTGCTTTAGCACTGCATAGGTTTTTGAACGAAATAAATTGAACTTAAGTTAAAAGGGCAACAAAAATGTGTGAATTATTGGAAATTATTTAAAATATGTGGTCCTCACGTTTCAACTAAGGAAGCTGTAACCTCTGATATTAACTAGACACATGAGTAAATCACACTCTTCATTGTTTTGACCTCAATTTTTTCATATATATTCTTCTGCAGTGTGGGTATATCAGGCACTGAAACCCATAATCAAGCAAAATACTAGTATTATACATTCTACTTTTTCAAAAGTATGTAGTCCCTGAACTGCGATTTTACAAATGCATAAATTTGAAGATACTGTATATTTGGTCATCTTTGAATTCCAAAGAATTAAGGAAATACTATCCTTTTGTGGAAACTGGAATTTTTTTCCTGCTTTTTTGGTAGTATAGTAAAATCACACTGGAATTCTAAGTTATTTTAATTTTTCAGTTAAGGGCCAAGAAATGTGAAATATTTTATTGGGAAAGAAAATATTACTGACTTTGTCTTACTTTACATTTAAAAAAAGCCTTAATACTGAATTTGGAATCCTTATATTGATGATGTGCAATCATACTGTAAATATTCACCTTCTAAAGTTACTGATTTAATAAAAATTTGTATTTTTTCTTACTACGCTGTAGCATTATCTCTTATTAAACTAAAAGATTATATTTATGTCAAAATCAAATATTCTTCCTTTCATATTTATTTGATGTCTAGATTGTTGGCAGTAAGTTTTTTTTATTTTTAAGATACGGAGTCTCCTTTGATTTACTAGTAGACATTGGAAAAAAGAGAAACACAGTGTATATCAGTCATAACTGGCAACGATGATTCCCACCAGCAGTTCTCATCCTTTCACCCATAAAATCAGCATAAAGTTGACCTAACATTGCCAGATCAGATCGAGTATCTGGAAAGTAATCCTCAGGGAACAGAAAATTCAGTCTTTGTGCATAAAGTTGTTGAATCGGATTATTTTTTTCAGAGCCCTTTTGTTTCTTCCTTTGCAGTACTTCTGAAAAGTTGCTACAAAGATGTGTCAGATGTGGTCTAAATCTAATCACATAGGCAGTAACTAAGTTAATCCATTTCAAAATATGGATGCACATGATTATAATAATTTTTTGAGCCCTGAATGGTGAAATTCATTTAATGAAAAGAACTGGGATATTTTCTACTTTGTGATTGAACCAATAGATGCAGTTTTTGTGTACTTATTTGTTCTCCCTCTGAAAAAACAGAGTATACAGAAAAAAAAAATGGTATTGAGGAAAAGTCAGGCAGCAAAATATGTTTAGGTAAATGTTACAAGCGGCAAGGGCAAACTCTAAGCTATACAATAACATAAATATCCTTACTTAAGACATAGTTGTAAGAAAGCTGTCACAAATATTTTCTCAGTAATTACAAAGTTGAGGTTACTTAAAAAGGATATTTTAAATATTCACATTGAAACCCTTTAGTTTCATTATTCACGAGAAAGAACTGTTCTGTATTTCTGCATGAGGATTTGTTTATGTAGCCATTAGAAATTGTATTACTTCCTGAAGATAAAACTTTCATTTAATATTTTATGAAAATTCTGTCATGCACTTTTATGAGATTCAAATCTTAGCCTCCTACCATTTTGGTAAAACTGCCATATAAAGATATGTCTATTTTTTTCTAACTGGGAACATAATTATCCACAAGACATTGATGTTTGAGTATCCTTAGGTGATGTGTAATGCATTCCACATTGATTTTAGAAATGTATACATTTTGTTTTATGTGAGTATATAATCATTGAATATTATCTTCATAAATTGGTAATGTATTATTCTTATATAATACACTTTAAATTATTGACTTTTACTATTTATATCAAAACTTTTTAGTCCTTAATAAATAAAAAGTTTAATTGTAGAAAGCTTACTTTTTTTTTTTTAAATTTAAAATACCTGAAAAACATTTTGTGGAACTTAAGTGTAAACACAAGAGGAGCCAGCTCATGCTAAAAATGTTGCTAGACATTTGTTGAGTTTTAAAAGTTTTGAAATATATATTTAGATTGTGTTTTTAAGAAAGTAGTATGGAATAGTGCAAATAATGGAATCAAGCTGTAAGTTTTCACTGATTCATATATGAAATGTTATCTTTGACTCACGAGTCCTTTTACTTGGAGTGGAGTTCAAACCCTATCATATGGGTGGTACTTATTAGTCATATTAGTCTTATCTTGGGCCTTCAAGTGTATGTGTGTGTGTGTGTGTGTGTGTTTTCCCCAGAAGAAATAATACATTATGCACTATCCCTTTAAAACACATTTGAAATATTCAGAAGATTGTTTTTGGCAGAATTAAAAAACAAGTATATGACTAAATATTTATTAGTGCTTACTAAACTAAGATCTTAGCATTTTATTGTGCTAAGTAGATGAGAAATACTTTGAAAAACAAAGAAAATGAAAAACTGGTGTGAAAACAATACTGACTTATATATATGAATTACTAGATATAACATGTTAGAAAAATTTCTGTGAAATGCCCTGCAAATATCAATTATATTTTAAATGAGCTGCTTTATATCTACTTACCAACTTATCTATTACTGCAAATATGAGATTTAAAAACTGATATAAGGCAAATATTATTACAGTTTTGTAAATCTTACTTGGAATTTTAAATGGATATTTAAGGTGTATTTTAGTCTAGTCCTGAGGGCTATAATGTATTTTATTACATATTTGCTACATTTATATTTTTCTTTTCAAATTAAAACAATATTTTAAAAGTATAGTTAAAATAGAAAATTCAAAGTTTAGAATCTTAAAAATCTAAAATATGTAAATAAAAAGTGAGTTGCTAAAAGAAATACAGTAATGATTTTGAATAACCTGACCAAATTATTAATGTCATTTATTTCTATTGCAAAGGTCATTAAATTTTTAAAATCAAAATATTTAATTATAGGAAAGAAGAGAAGTGAATGTCATCAACTATAAATGTTTAAAGAAAAATTTAAATGTTGTAATTAAAGTAGCTTTGACAATTTTAAGAGTGCTTAACCAAGACTGTTTCTTTAAATGTGTTCTTTTGCTGCTGTTTAATTATACATGTCAATTATTTACAGATCCTGTGGTATTGTGGAAATTCCCAGAGGACTTTGGAGACCAGGTTGGTATCATGTAATTTTTTAAAAAATTTAAAGTTGAAGTATTATGATTATTGCCACTATTACTACTGCTGTTGCTAGTGTAACTACTAGTGAACATGGATTGCTAAAATTATTTTCTCTTGATCAACTGTGAGAAAAAAAATGCATGTGTGCAGAATATATGGAAGAATCTTTTAAAGTTACCAAGTAGATGGGTGATGAAGAAGCCGTTATTAAAACTCATAGGTACTAGATGTTTAAACTTTCCATCATATTTTATATTTATTTATCTACAGAATATATATTTGAAAACATTAAAAATAATAAAAAAATTGACAGTATGAAATCTTTGTTGAATATACTGTTATTATTTTTGTGTACTTAGAAATAAGTGTTACTGCCATAAATAAGTGATCATTTCTCTTTGTCACAGTAATATCTGAGTAATTTACGTATGGAAGTTCAATTATCAATATTTTCTTATTTTAAAATAGTTCTTACATATATCTTTACTTTTTTAAAAAAAAATATGGCATGCAAGACTACTGGATGAGTTTATTTCATTTACATTTTGTGTTATAGTCTTCTGTAGTTTCTTAAATATTTAGTATGACCAAAATGATGAAGTAGTTTTACATGATATATGTAAATAGAAAAATTATTTAAACTTTAGGTTATAGAGTTATCATTTTGATGTTGCTTTATATAATACATGGTTAACAATACAAATTTAAGAATTTTTAGCCAAATTTTTTTGTTTTTTAAAAAATTGACACATAATTGTACATGTTTATGGGTACACTGTGATATTGCAGTACATATATGCAATATGTAATGATTAAATAAAGGTAATCAGTATATCCATCACCTCAAACATTTATCATTTCTTTGCCCTGGAAACATTCAAAATCTGCTCTTCTAGCTTTTTGAAAATATGTGATAAATTCTTGTTGATTATAATCACCCTAAAGTGTTATGGAACACAAGAACACCATTTCTCCTTTTTAGCTGTTTGTTAACCAACCTCTGGCTGTCAGCCCCAAAGCCTTGCCTACCCTTCTCAGCCTCTAGTAACCATTATTCTACTTTCTTCTTCTATGAGATTGGTTTTTTAAGCTTCCAATATGAGTGAGAGCATGAGCCATCTGTCTTTCTGTGCCTGACTTACTTTACTTAACATAATGTTCTCCAAGACCATCCATGTTGCCTTGAATGAAAGGATTTTGTTCTTTTTTTTATGGCTGAATAGTATTCCATTTTGTATGTATACCATATTTTTAAATCCATTCGTTTATGGACACTTAGGTTGATTCCATATTTTGGCTGTTATGAATAGTGCTGCAATAAACATGTATCTCTTTGACATACTGATTTTTTTTCCTTTGGATATATATTCAGTAGTGGGATTGCTGGATCGTATGACAGTTCTGTTTTCAGTTTTTTGAGGAACCTTCATAGTATTTTTTATATAATGGCTATACTAATTTACATTCCCGCCAACAGTGTATGAGTTCCCCTTTCTTTGCCATCCTTGCCAGCATTTGTTAGTTTTTGTCTCTCTCATAAAAGATATTCTGACTGGGGTGAGATGATGTCTCGCTTTGGTTTTGACTTGCATTTCCCTGGTATTTAGTGATGTTGAGCATTGTTTGATGTACCTATTGGCCATTTGTATGTCTTCTTTTGAGAGATGTCTATTCAGCTCATTTGCCCATTTTAAAATTGTGTTATTTATGTTTTTGCTGTTGTTTGAGTTCTTTGTATATTCTGGATCTTAATAATTTGTCAGATGATTAGTTTACGTATACATTCTCCCATTCTGTTGGTTGTTTCTTTGCTCCGCTGGTTGTTTCCTTTGCTGTGCCGAAACTTTTTAGTTTGCTATAATATCATTTGTCTATTTTTTGCTTCTGTTGCCTGTAATTTTAAGGTTTTTCTTCATGAAATCTTTGCCTAACACAATATCCTGAAGTGTTTCCCCTATGTTTTCCCCTAGTGGCTTCACATATTATGCCAGGTCTTATAGTATACACATTTAAGCTTTGATAGAAATAAGTACTTTTTTGCTGGATACTTGATGAGCAGGGTCCTTTCTTATGTCTTCAAATAAATGGGAGAAGACAATCTTGTCACTGTTTTTCTTTTTTTGATACAGAGTCTTGCTTTGTTGCCAGGTGCCAGGCTGGAGTACGGTGGTGAGACCTTGGTTCACCGCAACCTCTGCCTCCCAGGTTCAAGCAATTCTCCTGCCTCAGCCTCCCAAGTAGCTGGGACTACAGGTGAATGCCACCACGCCCAGCCAATTTTTGTGTTTTTAGTAGAGACAGGGTTTCCCCATGTTGACCAGGATGGTCTCGATCTCTTGACCTCGTGATCTGCCCGCCTCGGCCTTCCAAAGTGCTGGGATTACAGGCGTGAGCCACCACGCCCGGCCAATCTTGTCACTGTTAAATTTAGAATACTAGAAACTTACCATAATTTCACACATGCAATCCTCACAATTTACAAACATGAAAGCTGATAAAAGTATGTGTTTAAAGCAGTTCATTCAGAAATAAGCCTACAGAAGTGATTTTGAATAAGTGTGAAAGAGAAGAACACTTTTCTAGTTGTGAAAGCCAATCTGAAAGACTTAGAAATTATGCTGAAAAAGTCTGATAAATAGGCATGTTAAATATTAATTACATTTAGTACAACCTTTAACCATGGTTCATATAGAAAGAGGGTATAGAATTATAATTTGATTTTTGCTTTTTAGAGAAAAGATAGATTTGTGAATATCTTAAGTATGTAAAAGAACTCCCTACAGTGAAGACATGACTTGGGAATAAGAAGTTTTGAGTTTGTTCTAAAGTAGCTTGTAGCTTGTAGTTCGATTAGAGTCGTGTTCACTCATTTTGCCACTCTGAAATATTGTTTATTTTTTTAGTCTTCTCAGTGCTGTCTTGTCTGTTGACCCAATTACAAAACTCCTATTCCGGGTCAGATCTTTTTTTTTTTCTTTTAAATTTCTCTCTTTTACTTTCTGAATTGCCCCTGAGCACTTTTAGGCGTTCTGAATGCTCCTAACTTTGGGTTCATATAAGAGTGATAATGTACTTGTCAGGTCCAGCTTGTATTTTTTTTTTATTTGGGGCTTAATTGTTGTTCTGTTACCAAAATTTGTGAGATCAATGAAACATCAGTAAGCCCTCATATGTTTAGTGAAATACAGAAGCACTTAACCATGTAAAGGTGATGAACATTCATAACTTTTAGGATTCTGGTTTACCACAGTTCTTACAGACTTCTTGAAGGTTAGAGCTGAAAGGAACTTTAGGTACATTTTGTGTATCTACTTCATTACATCTAAAGAAATCAAGATTTACATGGGAATCTAATCAAGGGCCTTGAAGATTGGTTTTGCTATATACTTTTTAGTGAATTTATTGAATTCTACAGATGACACAAGTAGTCTGTGTATATTTCTTAACCCTTTTCCCTTTTACTGCTTTTCTCTACCAACTACCTGCTCCTTAACTAGCCTTTTCTCTGGATCTGAGGCTACCTCAGTAATTATAACCTTAAAAAGCTCTTTATTTCACTCTCATCATGTACTGGGCACTATACTAGGAGACTTATGTGCGTACTTCATTTTATTTTCAAATCCTTCCAGGACTAGTGGGAGATAGTATCATCCCTGAACTGAGTCTTACGTAAGAAACATACCTGAGGTCACAGTGCTTGTAAGAGGCAGAGCTAAGATTTGAAGACATGTTTGTTGGACTCAAAAGCATATACTCTTATATTTTAAGCTTTATTGTTTTTTTTTTGCTTGGAATGTTGTCTCAAACTTTCCTCACTTATTTTACCTCCCTTAAAAAAGATTGTTGTGAAATTTTTCTCTTGGTATCTTTAGAATTTAAAAGCAGTATGTAATTTAGTCCAAATAAATAGTATCAATCCATTTGCCTCTTTGGTTCTATCACATGGAGTTGTCGGTCCCCGTAGGCACTGGTTTATTATATGCCTCTTGGAGTGTGCTTTCCTTCTTTTGACAATTGAGGAACCAGTGGGACAATTGATATGGCATTTTAGGAGCTTTGATTAAATTTTTTCCTTTTTTTTTTTTAAATACAGTGGAAGCTTTTGTACAGGAGAGTATTAGGAGATAAAAGTATAAAAGTAAATTAGCTGGGTTTTGGCACCGTTTGCCTTGCTAAAGAGTGAGTTCTTCAGATGGGAGAGATTTCAGTATGGATTGGTTGTGGTAGAAACTAGAGGCATGGAAATTAATTTGGTAGCTGTTTTAGTAGTTCAATGAAAAGTAAGAAGGATCTGAAATAGTTACATTAGGAATGGAAAAGAGTACAAGTGTAAGGAAAAAAAGAGATTGCATGAAAAAAGTTTATTGATTGATTGATTGATTGAGACAATGTCTCTCTTGTCCAGGCTGGAGTGCAGTAGTGCCATCACCACTGGCTCCCAGACTGAAGCTATCCTCCCACTTCAACCTCAATAATCCTCCCACCCCAGCCACCCCAGCGGCTAAGACTGCAGACGTGCTCCACCGCTTCTGGCTAATTTTTTTTTTTTTTTTTATGAGATGGAATCTCACTATGTTTCCTAGGCTGGTCTTGAGCTCCTGGTCTCAAGTGATTTTTCTACCTTGGTCTCCCGGAGTCCTGGGATTACAGGCTTGAGTCTGGCCAAAAAGTTTATTTTTGAGGGACTGGGGAGAGAGTAGAGAAGACTAAAGAGAAGATCAGTTTGATTTTTATCATTTCAAGAAATGTTGAACAATATTCTATGTGAGTGATGACAGGACACATTGGGGATTTGAAAATAATGGAAAATGTTTGCAACCTAAGAAAATAAAAAAGTGTAAATATTCAAAGTTGAGAATTGCTGCAGAGGTAGGAATAAACCTTTTTATTGTAGGCAGAAAATTAATCAGTACATTAAGGAAGCAGACCCATCAAAATTGACTGAAGTTGATTTTAACGATGTTCATAGCTTCTTTTCCGAGTCTGATATTATC